GCGAGGGAGTTAGGGACAAGAAGGCAGAGGGAACCAGAGATACAGCACAGATGAAAGGCGCTTAGGCGAGCAGATCGACGGCGGGCAACGTGGAACACACCACAAATCATGTCGACATGTAAGAATGCATGCATACTCCTTCGAAAGAGTGGATCACAAAACTTGTAACGTTTTCCTTCGTACTTTATAGAGGCTAGCTCACATGGTCCGTGTGTAATCCTTTCAACTGATGCGCACAGCTTCCAGACCTCATGTCCCAGAGCTAGATATGGAGTTGGTCGTGTCGAACGTCATGGACATGATGGATGTTTTCCAAACGAAGCCACCGAGCAGGGATAGCACGTCATCACGACAGAAAAGGAAAGGGGGTACGCAACCGGCCGGGGAAGATCCCTCGATAAGATTGATGAGACAATTTCTCACAAAAGAAAGTCACAGGAAGCACATGCTGTAAACTGCATTCAATTCCACAAACTCCCGAGCGAGTGCTATCGCCCACGGTCCCGATTCCTTTCGACCCTTCGCTCCCATTCTACGGCCATTCACGTGGTGCTGCCTGTAGTTTTCTTCCACGCAAAGGGTAGCTTAACGACGTTCAAATCCCGGTAGCGAGAGGGAACATCGAAAAAATCAAAGCGATCGAAAGTCCCCCATTATTGCCACGATTTAAGCATGCCAGTACCTCTTCATTTCACACACCACGGAAGGAACGGGGGAAAAAAACACCTACCGGTGTACACAATATAGTGTGACTCCCCCCTGCGCGACCCCGGCCGGTGAGTCTATCTACAAATGGTGGCCGTATCGAAGATCGAAAAACAGACAACAAAATGTGTGGGATGACGACACATCCACCCACAGAATGACATTTTTCAATTGCCATTCCGGAAGCGCTGTCGCCGCTAACACCAGGTGCAGTGCTGGGGTCGCTATGGTGCAGGTTGAATAGTGCAGGTGCCCGGTGAAGTGCAGGGATATCCTCTGGACACAAACAACGCCCTCAATAGTGCAGGACCTGCACTATTGACAGCGGTCCCCCTATAGTGCAGGTTGGGCACCGCTGTGCCCCACAACAGTGCAGGTTAGACGCACACACACGGATAAGACAGCGGACAGACGCAACACAGAAACGAGGGTACACGTGCTGCTGCAGACACGAAGAGCTCTCCGCAGCGGCGCACCATGCCTTGTGCAGACGGTGAACTGAGCCATCAACAAGACAGAACGCCGCGAGCCCCTGACGGCCACGTTTGTCAGGGAGGATGTAGCGGGCGGCTCCACGGCAATTGCGGCAGCATGTTTCAGGGCACCGAAAGCCACTGCATCTGCAGCTTAGATGGCGATGTTAGCAGCACATTCCGCTAAGCGTGTGCGCCAGGCAGACATGAGGGAATTTTTCACGATGTAGTGAGGGCGGGGGGTACAGCTGTAGCGGTAGTGGTGGTTGTTCTTGCAGTGCGCTTCCTGTCGTGTTTCTTTTTTTAATTGTTTTGTCTGGTCTTTTTTATCTTGCATCATCGAAGGAGGGCAATGAAGACTGGTATTTAGCTTCGTCCACTACGTGCATGATTCATGTTAAGGGTTGGTTCGCGCGACAAGTTCAGGGTATGCAGTACAGTACGAGTGCTGAGGCAGGAAAAAATAACGGTGCAACATGCAAGTATTTTTTGCACATCTCTGTGTGTGCGACAGGGGAGAACCATACACGCGTCGCGAGACAGTCTGCCCACACCCACGCTAGAATAGGGCCCAGCAATACTGCTGTATTCGATTCATTTCGTACTCTGGTAGCCCCGTCAAGCGTGAGCGCCACACCATGAAGTCAAACATCTCAATAGTGCAGTACCTGCACTATTGAGGGATTTCAAGACCTCAACAGTGCAGGACCTGCACTATTGAGGCACAATACTGGTTAGTGCTGTTGCCTGCAATAGTGCAGGTAAAGTCTCTGGAGACACCCCTGCACAATAGCGACCCCAGCACTGTATAACAAACAAAGACACATGGGTGTACACCGACGAGGTGACGTTCCTATATGTTGTGTGCACCACGTACCCGCACAGCGCCGTCCATATGCCCGGAAACGACGACGGCATTGCTCCCCTTGGAGTCCTTCCAGCTGTGGCTCACGTCCACCGCGTTACACTTGGAGGTAGCCCGCATAGCCGTTGTCATGGCGTTCCACTGCCCTCGATGCAGGTCCCAAACCTTGCAACGCCCAACGGACGGAATAAGTTGCTTTCATGCGGTGGCCACAACAGTGGTTGTCTTCTACTTGTACAGCGGCAGAGGTCGCTGTTTAGGGCCGGTGGGTGCCCAGAAAATTAATTATCCGGCACTATACCAGACATCGCACTGAAAAAAGGTATGGAATTGCTTGGTGATAGATTCACTTGGTGCCCGCCGAAAACAACATACCGGCACCATGCCGGCAACTGGCACTAGGCAAAAAAGGGAACCTCTACGGTACTGGAGTACGTACATGATGTAGTTATCTTTGGACAATAGCTGTTTGGGTCGGTGAAAATGGCATCTTCCAACAGCCATCGCCATCGCCGGGCACGACTGTAGGCAGGCGTCTGTGAGACAATTGATCCACACAAAACAATGCTACCAGGAGGGGGACGTGCCGAGAAAATGACTACACGGTGCGAAACAACAGCCCACCGTCGAACAACGAAGGAACGAACGAACGAACGCACCAGCCCGTTCGACACTTCATGAGCAGAGTCAGCGGCAGCGCTCGTGAAACACCAGAAGGACTGTTATACAACTTCGAAGTACATCTATTCTACCCCCAAAAAATCGATACGTACTCTGGGTATCGCATAAGCGCTTCCATTCCAAAGAAAAAAACGCCGTTTACAACAAACAGGGCTCGAAGCCATGACGTAGCGACAGCAACATTCGTGTTTCATATCTACGATTACATATGTAAGGTGCCGTTGACGTTGACGGTGTACTGTACCTTGATGGAGCAGTCTTGGCTGCCGGTGACGAGGCGTTGTCCCGTATCGCAGAATGATACCGCGCACACCTACCAAGAGCACCAATAAATCAAGTCAAATAGGAATCGTTATAGTATCACTCGAAAAATAGGAGGTGTCCCGCATCATGCACGTTGCCGTTGCCGGCTGCCAAAGGATGGCCAGCATTATTAAATTGAAGTAGATCGTTTCGTCAACGGTTATTAAGATGTGATCCAAGAAGATGCAAGGAACTAGAAGCAGTCGACACCTTCGACGGGAAAAATATCAAACAACGACTCTGGAGGTGATGGACTGACGACTCACACCAGCGATAGGGCAAGTGAACGAGGTCTAACCTCACCTTTTGCTGGTGACCTGTCAGCCGAGCCTGTTCCCGACTCGTCCTAAGGCTCCACACCGTGCAGCTGCCATCAGAAGCCCCGCCACACACCAGATCCCCGTGGATGTCCACGGTGATCATTGCAGCCATCCCCTTGTGAGCTGCGCCCTGTCAACACAATCGCCCCGTGCGGCACCGACGACGATGTTACTGGTGATCACAGTACTGGCACTAAGATGGTGACATGGCATCAAACAGTGATGTTTCCGCACCCCGGTGTCGAGACAACGCATAACACAGCCGGTGTGTAGCATACCGGTTGGGAATGAACCGAGAACAACACGGACGTCGATAGGGCAAGATGGTTTTGAACAAAACAAACGAGATGCACATCATATGCACAGTGGGAAACGAACATTACATTCGGCACCATCTCTGCCCCTATAGCATCCCAGAAAACTCTATTTTTAGTCTTGCCCGCGGGCACCTACGGAGGCGTGTTCGTCACGTACCGAAAACGAGAAATAAAGAGCGATTCCCCGAAGCCTGGCCAACATCCTCACCTGCCAGCCAGCTCCACTGGGAAGGAACGGTCGTACAACACTCGCCGCTTCATGCACCCACCACACGCCCCGCACCTCTCCTCTCCTCTCACCTCGCACTCCTTGGAGAAAATTACACTTATCCCACCCATCTCTTCATATCTGCACACATCTTTGAAATCTTCGCCGAAGCCGTGGCCCCTTGCTCACCACACCTGACACCTGACACCTGACACCTGACATCCAGCCACCACACGCCCCGCACCTCTCCTCTCCTCTCACCTCGCACTCCTCGTCACCCCTCCCCCCCCCGCCCAATCCATCTCTGCACTGCACATCTGCGCACATCTATTCTCGGAAACCTTCGCCGAAACCTTCGTCCCCTTCCTCACCACAGCTCACCACACCTGACACCTCATTCCTCACCTTCAGAGCCGCCCTCTGCCGTCCTGAGCCTGGGTCCCACACCTTAACGTACGAGTCGTCGCCCGCGGTGGCCAACAACACCCCTCCTTTCTCGAACACTGCCCCGTTCACGCCAGAAGAGTGAGCCTCGATCGCCTGAAAGCACCTGCTCGGCAAGCCCGCAGATGCGGGACTCGCGTTTTTTTTCCGTAACCCAGATGCCCAAGAAGAGGCAGGCAAGTCCCCCTCGCCCTGGGGTTGCTGGGAGGGATCGTGGCCAGCCTGCTGCTCCTGCGACAGCCAAGCAGGTGCGGCCCCTGCTTCGTGCCGTTCGTTGTCGCCGCCCATAACGCCGCTTTCGGGACGAATACCGGAGCATATAGGGGGGGAGGGGGGTACTCATACTCATAGTCGTGCATGCCGTAGTCGTTAGACCATTGACCTCGCATCCCTAGCACGCCAGGGTATCACTGGACCAGGCTCTCTCATCACCAAGCGCGAAACGAGCTATTCGGCGAGTCGCATGAAGGGTGCGCTGCATCCTGCTAAGGGTGTTCGGCATCTTGTGCTTACTTCCTTGTGTACGGATGACAGCTGCGGGGGTAAGCAGCGGAACCGTAGAGAGCTTTTTTCTTTTGCTTCGGTAGTGCCGCGTGATGCGAAACTAACCACGTGGGGGACTTGGGAGTTGAGAAGTCCAGGCTTAAGAAAGGATATGTGTAAATGTTTTAAAAAGTCTACGAGAAAGAGCTTGGCCAAACATCGGGTGCTCCGTCAAGAAGCCTATAATAGTATACAATGAAAGCTAGAATATACTTCTTTTCAATTAATCTAAGTTGTAGTCGATGTTGGGTTACCCCGCAGAGCACGTAAGAGGAACAAAAACAACCAACCGAACCCGCAGCACCGCAAAAAACAAACAAACGAGGGATCCGTACCGTTGGGACAGGTCCTACCACACCTCATCCCGACGAACCACAGGAGGATATCCTATCTTTTCCTTTCGTTTCCTAGAGAGAGGTGGATGCTACTTCCAAAGCTACCAATGTGTTGTGCTACATTGAGGTGACGAACAGCACACTCGACAAGTAAATTCAATGCTAGTCGTGGCCATAGCAACAGCAGTCGTCGGATAGGGCCAGACAGCAGTAGTAAGTACACTTGGGTAAATCGGTGTTACTCATGGCGATTTAGATCCAGCACAATACTATAATAACGGAATAAGTGACCTCGTGGCCCTTCGTCTTGCTTGTGCCGCAGTCGTTGTGTCCTGGACGCCTTTTTCCTGCTGCTGCAATTTGGCCGCCAGGTCTTTCTTGTCCTGTCTGAGAGTAGAGTTTTCCTCATTCATCTTGTTCATCTCCTCTAGCATTCTGCGCGTACAGTACACGGTAAGAATAGCAGACAAGACACAAACCCCGTGTGGGTTTGACTGACGACTACAGAAGTATGGCTAGCAGTATGGCAATGATGCTATGACGCAGGGATGATTTGGCAAAACTCTGATAACCACTGCTGTTATTCTAGTTGCAGGCGGTGCACAGTAGGACAGAAGGATTCAAACTACGTTCGAAACCCCATGTGTTCGAACAATGTGCAAGAACGTCTACTAGGGTCCATACAGGTGCAGGTGCAGGTCTAGCAACACGTGCACCCCAACCCTAACCCTTCACAGCCACTACAACAGTGTACTATATACAATATACAAGATACGAGATCCTTCCTAGATCTTTACCGTCTTCCAAGTCAAAGGGCTACTTGCACTGGGCTACCTGCACTACAGGGAGCCAACGCCACTGCTGCCGCAGCACGTTCCTCGGCTTTTGGTCCAACGAATAGGCACTGCATGCTCCGTGTACTCGGGGCGCCCATACAGCAGGGGCAGGCCCGCAGCAACGACTTCTCGAACGAAGTCGAGACGGAGATGAGCCAGATAGATAGACCCAGAGAAGGTTCGTTGGGGTTCGCTGGACTGCAGAAGGAAAAAACACGTGAGCTGTGTGAGCTGTTGAGCTTCATAGATGTCACCGTCACACCCGTAGCTGGCTTCCAGCTGTGGGTTGGTCCTGCTGGTTGCCATTATTGTCATCTTGCCTCTCCCATTTATGACGCTGCTGTGCTCTCACGAGCATACTCCGGAGCGACCACTTGTAGTCTATCTGGTGCGTTCGTTTGGTCCTACACATTTTACAATATAATGCTGTACCTCTCTTTGTCCTTTAGAAGGCGGGACATGAGCTCCTCGCGCTCCTTCCTCGCCTCCTCCCTGAGAACCACAGCCTCAGCCTCCCGGCCTCCAAGCATGTTTCTCAAAGATTCAGTCTCTGCCGGGGACACATGAGTAAGAGGCATCCGTGATGTTTGGCTATCGTTGCTCTTGCTTGCTTATTATTGTTGTTGTTGTTGTGGCTGTTGCTGTTGTTGTTGCTGTTGTTGCCATGAACAGTCCACAAGCTGAAGGCAATGGATGCCAACGACTACGACCCTGGTCTCAACGGCAGAGGAAATGAGACTTGCCGACATCACAATCGAGAAAAACGGGTAATTATTGAAAAAACATGACCGGGAAAACGTGGCAAGCAAGAGAAGAGGTATTTTACATGTCATGTATCTCCACCGGAACACAAAAAATAAAACAAACATCAAGTTATATTGCACACATAGCGTTGTCGTCCATTTAGTTGTTGCCATCATGATCGCTGTTACCATGATGCTCATCGTGCCCCTACAATGGGTGCGGGAGCGAGAACTAGAGCATCAAACACGACAGATGTTCAGCAGAAGAGCGGGAGCACTCCCAAAACATATTATAAACGTATGTACCATGATAATAAGCAACCGAACCCTGGAGGGTTGGCGGTCAAAAATGGTGGCCAAGGTCCGCTAGCGGCTTCTCTTCGCTCAATGTACAAGCCAAGCTTCACCTTCCCGACGAAACACATGGGAAGCATGGACATAAAAACATCGTGACACAACCAAGGGGCAACAAACTAGAGGGGGGATACATAGATGGGCCAGCTTCAGCACATGAAACAAGCACAGCCGTGTTCCATCCCAGACATCGAATTGGCGCGAGGGCACACTACTGTACCGTTCTGTCAACAATAACAAGTGGCAGCCCTGGATGCGCAAATTCTTCCAACAGTAACAAGAAATGATGGCGGAATATGGTGTGGTTGTATTCAGCAGCAGTGCAGCAGTAACCGGCTCCCGCTGCATATGGTACCCAGTGGTCCAATACGACACAAGATAACACACCCCCTGGACCATTTTCAAAGCTTGATTTACTGGTAGCAGAAAGAGTTGTAGCGCCGAAAACGGTGGCGATGATACGGTCTCGTTGAGAGCTTTCCGAAAACGCATTGTTTCGTTCATGCATCTTCGTCGTGGAGTACTCGAGCTTTGAAAATCGCTCCAGAGGGTGTGTTATCTTGTGTCATTTACGGTAGTCAATACCTGCCCGAAGAGACGCCAATGCCGATTCCGACAGCGCGTTTTCGTCCTCCAGCGTTATGCACCTCGACATCGACACCCCGTGCTCCACTTGGAGCTTTTCTAACCTTGATGCGACGGCGGGCCAAGCGTGAGGAAGGGTTAAAAGTTTAAAGACAGGGAGGGAACAACAGTACAGTAGGGGGGTGGAGGGAACCGCAAGGGCATCAGTCATTTGTTTGTACGTGAGTGAACCCCAGAAAGGCGTTCGCATGTGGGGGTATTGGCGTGACGATCAGTCACACTCTTTTAGGGTAAGTTAGCCTGCGACCACGGGAATCGACCGCGTCGAGTGTTGTATCAGTACGGACATACGAAGGTACTGGGTAGAGAGAGATCGGAACGGTTTTTAATGTGAAGACAACAACAACAACTCTACGCTAGCCGCCGCAGGCGTGGCCGGCTACTTTCATCTAACTCTAAATCTTCGCCTCTGCCCGCGTCTATATCACTCACCACACGCTAACGTCACCTGACTCGCTGCCCAAAACTCTCAACCTTAGGTCTTCGTACACAATCATGCTCACCGCTCGTTGGAATGCTTGAGCTGGTCCTGCAGTAGCTGGGCCTCCTTCATGAGTCTAAGTTGTTCAGACGCAGACTCGGCGCTGCTGCGGTACTTGTCGGAAACCTACCGAAAGAGAGTTCATGAAACACACCGTGCTGGTTCAAATACGCAACAACATTGATATCATTGCGGATGTGGGTAGGAGTGAGAGAAAACGGAGCTCGAGTTTCTCCGCGTCACCACACGCCAAACCTAGTTAGTGAGTATCGCATGCTTACGTAGCAAATCAGAGTGCTGTGTTCTACCGCACGAAGTGAGCAGCTCAAACAGCATGGTGGCCCCGGCCTGGCCTGCTTCACCGACCTACCTGAACCTGTAGGCGCTGAAGTTCGTCCTGCATTCTGCGAAGCGCCTCGGAGCTCTCTCCCTGCGACAGACCCTCAGTCAGCTTGTGCCTCAAAATGATAATGTCCTACAGGAAGAGAGGCAGACAAAAGGTGGTGCACAATCAGGCATTTAGACCATTGAAATGTCAGCAGTCAGGACCAACGTTTTATCACATTAGTTCCCAGAAGGAAATTCCTGCTTGACACTCGCTTTCGGGTAACGAGTGCCACCTTCTGGGTGCAATCCCCTCCCTCTGGACTGACTCCCTTCAACCCACGGGCAAGATTCGTGATAAGCTGACTCTTCGTTGTTGCCCTCTCCAACCAAACATCGAAACAGCGGCCATCTTGGTTAGTAAATCACTCCCGAGCCCAACATCACGTGGTAGCATGTCTACTGACGCGCATTTGCTGTCTATACCAGTGCCTATGGTCGTGCCACCGATAGATGCAACCTGGAACGGAACGCAAGTTGGGGAGGGAGGGAGAGAGACTCCGCTTCTTCCATGCTCTACTGAAGGTCCACACCATTCTCAAACCTCAAACACAGCGGCAGAAAAACTACCCTCAAGGCCGATCAAGTGGCAGGTACAAAGCAAAACACTTAACACCAATACATAGCAGTATCAATCATGTGCAAGTTTTGTACCTTGTCCTGTTGAAGCATCTGTTGCGTGAGCTTCTCGTTCATGTGTAGGAGACCTTGGTGTGCAAGGAACACATCCTTGAAAGGGACGCTCTCCTCCAAGTTGCGACGGGCGAGCTTCGAGGCGAGGCTGCGAATTAGCTCTTTGTTCCTGCTGTCACCAGCGGTGCTGTCACCTTGCCTCACGAGAGAGGCCATGAGACACAGAGAGAAGAGCAGTCATGTGATGTGTATGCCGCTGCTCTGTGCGCTACACGACGGGGTTCAGGGGTTGGTCGGGGAGCTCCGTGGAGACCAATATTCCGCCGCACTACCAGTATGTGTTCAGAAATTCCAGGATATACTCTGCGATGCCCCCCGCTGTGAGCAGCTTGGAGCAGCAAGAGTGTCACGCAAGGAGCTAAGGCCCCTAGCTCTAGGCCTAGAGCTGCACACGACGGCTCATAGATCCCTCGACGAGGCCTCGGCTGAATTTTTCCCTAGCCTCCACTCTCTCGACGAAGACAAACGGCCGGTTCAGTGAGAGGAGGTATGTCGAACTCTCGCTGGCGATCGGACGATCGACGATGGGCTTTGGGAGTCGCTCTGTGCCTATGCGGAGCCGGTGCCGCCGCGCTGCACTGCACCAGACGGCGACGACGGCGAGCCGGCGAGATCCAGGGACAGACAAACGGCACGAGACACCCATCAATTTCGCAGCGTGAATCGCAGGACGGCGGGAGGGTGAGGAGAGGGTTGCCTCCCCGGCACGCCGGGTCGGACAGCTCTGGCAGTCTTTCGGACACATACCCGGCCGTGGACATAGGGGCGGTGCTCGGCGTAGACATCGGGGGCACTTTGTCGAAGCTGGTGTACTTCGAGAAGAAGGCTCCTTCGGAGGCTGACCCTCAGTGTAAACCTTCAGGGGATCCAATGGGCAAAAAGGTGCGTGTTGGTACGATATTACAGCAGCAGTGCTGTATACTGCTGTAGACGGAAAATAGAACATGATCAATTTACCGCCGTTTGGAGCGATGCTACTCTGCCAGTGGGTGCACCATCGTGGGTTCAAACGGGGCTAGTCTACAGCAGTAGTCTACACCCGAGCCCCAAGATCTGTCAGCTCGATGGATAAGCGTGGCGATTGCTAATTGGTGGGATTTTCTCTCATTTCGTGCACGAGTCGAAGAGCGTTACGGTGTAAAGGAACTATGTACTTCTAGTGTTGTCACTGGTTTCGCTGTCGTTCAAATCGTGATGCTCCCTCCGCTCGTCATGTCAAGTCATGTGGTCCACAGCAACGCAGCAAAGGCGGTGTCGTGTGTTGTAATGCGTACACGTTCTGTTCGCTGCGAGAAACGTGATCCACACGTGTTCCAGAATACTAGATAATTTGTTCATTCGTGATGATAGACCGGGGACTAAGCGTAGAAAATGCAATCTGAGGACGCAAGTGCGGGCGAGGAACGCACGGAGATGTGGCACAGTACACAGTACTGCTGTATCCACAGTGCCAAGAGGCTGTAAAATGGCGCACATGCGTTGATGCCATGAGCAGCGTTTTTTTTTTTGTGCCGGATGCTGGAGTCTAAATTGTTCGATGTAGCCGGCAGAAATTCACCATGGGTCTTCTTCGCCAATGTTGTTGCCATAGGCTGGTTATGGTAGTTGTAATCCACTTCCGACGATCTTTCGCCTTCTGCCGAGACGTTGGAGGTAGAATACTAGCGTTTCGCGCTCCCTCCACGCTTCCTTCGTAGGTGGAGATGAAGCGGACGGTCAGCCTGGGCAACCTTCACGACACCATGGAGCAGCAGGAGGCGCTGAAGGAGTTCTACACCTTCATGGACCAGGCTTCCAGGGTCGGGGAGAGCGGCGTAAAGGATGCCCACCTGAGCGTGTACAGCCACGCTCTCGGTGGAGTTCTTCACTTCTTCCACTTCGAGACGCGCTTCATGGACCGTGCGGTTGAAGCCATCGCCAACAGCCCCATCCACCGCAACATACAGGTATTCTTCCGCTCCGCTACCCATTGCCGTAGGTGCTTGGCCACTCCGTGCTTCGAAAGTCCCTCGAAGCCGCTTCTTACATTGGCTCAGGAATTGCTGTCGATTGTTTTTGAGTTACCCTCAGCACATGCAAGCGTACGCACTCCCATGGTCTTTGCTCTGCTCACGTCCAGCGAGCTCCCACGCGTGTAGAGTTCTACGGCTGCGTACCCAGTTCAAAGGTTTCTATGCGCGGTGGTTTCTCCGACCAGCAGCATCATCAGGTCAAATTGGGTCATAAAGGCAGTCTTGCAGCTTTTTGTATCCAATTCCGTTTCGGATTGATTTCCGTGGCACTATGGAAAGCCGAGGGTGCCAAGCCTTGTGGAAAGGCTGCATGGCTGTCGTTATCCCAAGGCTGTCCCTGCTTTCCTCGGAGCAGGCCCTAGGCTGCACGGGTGGCGGTGCGTTCAAGTTCGAGGAGTCGTTCTTGCAGAGGCTCGGGGTAAGGATGCTGCAGATGAACGAGATGGAGTGTCTCGTGAGGGGGATGCAATTCGCGCTCGCCAACATCCAAGAAGCGTGCTACACGTACCGGCCGCCCGTGGAGGTGAAGAAAGAGGGGGCCCCGCCGGGGGGAGAGGCGGAGGAGGGGGAGGGTTCAGGGGGAGATGAACCGGGCCCGGATCCTCGGGACAACCTGAGGAACAAGAGGATGCGTGAGATGGCGGAAGTGTCAGCCAAGCGGGTGAGTGATGCTGCTGCTCTTGTCTTTTTGTGGGTTGACGCCATCGTGCGAGCGATGCTGCTGGTACCGCAGGCCTAACGTTCGCCCATGGCCAAGCTTTGGCGAGCGCACAACATCAGTTCCTTCCCATAGCCAAACCTATGAGCACAGTGTAAAAAAGCGCTCCCCTGCTAGCGCAACACGGCGAGCATTGCTGTTATCGCATGCGGTGGTACTGTGTAGTATGCAGGTTGTGCCAAGTGTCGCAAAAACGCGAGGACTGATATTGGTCGTTTTATTGGTCACGAACTCCACACGCTCAGGAATACACGGTCAAGGTTGGTCGCTCGATTGCGGACGAGCCCGCCACCACTGCCTATCCGGCGTTGGTGGTGTCATTGGGATCAGGGGTTTCTATCATCAAGGTGGGCGTTTATGGCGTTACTGCGTCAGATTGCCTTCCGAGACATGGTACAAAGGCGGTGTGTGTGATTGCTATAGTAGCTGATTGTTAGGCAGCCTACCGGGAGTAAAGTTGAAGGTGAAACTTACGTTCCAGTACGTGTACGTAATCACAACCCTGCACTGGTTTGCAAGTCTGACGACAGCACCATGCCCTCTGCTTGTGGTGCGAGCCTTCGAGTTTCAACGAGCGCACTTGGTGCGATACACTTGTTGCACCTGTACCTTGTATGACTCATGCGTGCATTTGTGTTATGGTATGCATATCGCTCAATGATTTATCGATGTTCACTGCAATCGTAACGCTGATGAGAAGTGGACGAACATTGGAGCGACGTTTAAACTCCAAGCAAACCCTCGCATGATCTGCATGCCATGTTTGCAATGGGCTCTCTCTCGGTCGCTCATTGCCGTCCCGTGTGTAGACAGCATCCGCGGGAAGCGTGAACGGTCATTGTCTCGGGCCGAATGTACTAAATCATACACTCAGCGTGGTAGGATACTGGGTGACGGATATCCACGTCGATTGCTATGGACAAAATCAGTTTACATGTAGCACGTTTCGAACCTCGCGTCCCATCCGTCACCCAATACCCTCTCGGGCCTCGTCCTACTCACCCACTCACCCCTCAGGTCGATGGACCTGCCAAATTCAAGCGTGTGAGCGGCAGTAGTATCGGCGGGGGCACGTACTGGGGGCTGTGCCGACTCCTGACCGAAGCAACTAGCTACGATGAGTCTCTGGAAATGGCTCGTCGAGGCGACTCCGACAAGGTGACTCCAAGAACTCAAGAATCGCATCTGGGACTGAAGAAATTGTCCAGTCAGAGCCAACATCGAAATGCGTGGCTCGGTGCGGTTTTCGCAAAGGGCGTGTCAGGTAGTGTTGAAACATTATCCCACCGTAAGGCCAGCTGTGTACCATTGACCGTGTGTCATGTACAATGGTCATGACCCGTGTTGTCTTGTACTGCTCGACACTTGTTGGTCAAGGGCAGTTTCGGAGCGGTTGTCACACAGCACCGATGATAGAACGATGTGTTGTGTTGTTTCGTTGAGGAAGTTCTGTGGAAATGATGCTATTGTTTCTCGTACTAAGTCTAGTTTATGCGTGCGGCGTAAGGTGGACATGTTGGTCGGAGACATTTACGGGCGAGGGTACAGCAAGTTTCAGCTGAGCTCCAACACTTTGGCGAGCTCGTTCGGAAAGGTGGGCGGGATGGAGGCGCCAGGGAAGCCGGTGTCTGGGGTCAGCGAGGAAGATCTAGTGCAATCGCTGTTGGTGATGATCACCATGAACATCGGACAGGTGTGTTGCTTTTGTGTGTTTGTTTCTCTCGTTATCATCGACCGTGCTAGCCGGCTGACGGGCGACAGGACGTCGCCTTGTACTCAAGCGGGATACGAAACGCGACCACGGTTTCAAGTGCCTGTGCGCGTGAAAGCGAAAGGTGGGGGGGAAGAGGGTCGTTCCGAAACCACAGCAGCATTGCCTTGTTTCTGCACAGGCGAAGAGGGGTGTTTCGTGGAGTGGTTCTCGTCGAGTAATGTTTTAGCTGCACGGTGTAACCTGTATCACTTGAGGTGGTGTTGCTTCGCTCGAAGCTAACCACGTCGTTGCCGCCTGTCAGGTGTGAAGGTATGTCGAGGTGGTGGGTGGGTAGCGCTACCGTTGTCGTTACGCTAGTATGTAGACTACTTACGTGCCTGCCGCAAGCTGTTTGTTCACCAATCACACCCGCGCACCACCTGCGCTGGGGATGGCAGCCCACCGTGATACGCGAAGAGCACTAAAGAAAACTACGAAAGTCAGGTGGAGGCTCGAATATCACATGCCCGACATATCAACAACGTCGATGTGCCACATATCCCCAACTTCCGCGGGATATGTACCTTTCGACGTAGGGGACCCAAGTCGTCCCAGCACTCGGCCACAAAAATGTCTCTCGCTCCTGCTAACCTGCCCACCCGCCCGACAAATCGTGCGCTCCGAAAAGGTGGCCTACTTGAACGCCAAGCTGCACAACACGCGGCGCATCTACTTCGTTGGGAATTTCTTGCGACACAACCGACTGTCCGGCCAGCAGCTGGCGTTCGCGATAGACTACTGGAGCAGCGGGGAGATGGAAGCCCTGTTTTTGGAGCACGAGGGGTACTGTGGCGCTCTTGGCTCCTTCCTCATGTCAGGCACAGAGGAACCAATAGGAGGGGGCGCTACCTCCGAATCAACTGAGGACTAGGATTGCGCTAGATACGTGTGAACTTTTTTTAGGGTGGCGGAACGTGGAGAGTACGTCCGACGTATGCTATGGCTTTGTGTCTCGTGTGTGATGCAATGTGTGGTGCTCCTCGGTGTGCAGAGGTGTGTGTGTGCACCGTGAGGTATTGTCTACTGGTGCACCTTGAGGTAGAGTCTACTGAAGCCACGCTCGCTTGGTACTAGACTGCTGCGCAAACTCCAAGCTTGTTGCAGGTTGTGTTTTCTGTTCGATTGGAGCCGGATGGTGGTGCCGTAGGGTGTGTTGTTCCTCAGACCGACCTGTCCTGTGTCTCCGTGTAGTGTTGTGGTGCCGCCCGTCGTACGACGAGTGCTGCAGTGCTTCATCTACTGCTGCCGCTGTCTTGTACTTGTGTAAGGGAGAGTATGTGAAATAGTGGCGTATCCCTTCACGGTACATACTTCGTGGGGAAGGACTCCGCCTAGTGCCTGTCTTCAGGTCAGTTCTTCGCGGATTTTGTGTGTGGGTAGTCTTGGACCAATATCTAGGAAGACTGTTGTAAGATTGCGGGGGCTGTCTTTTGCTCTCGGGCGCTTTCTATGTCCTTTATTGTTGGAAGTTCCCGCGATTGTTGAAGTCTTGCGTGTTGTATGCTTGCACGATTTCCATATTCGGTCCAGGGGTGTAGTGTGGTTCGGGCTTGTGTCGCCGAATAGTAGAGATTGTGACGTCGTGGGAAAGGGAAGGTTAGTTGTAAATATGTAATCATTTCTTAGAATTCAGTAGATTCCCGGATGCACACGTGAGAAACAAACGTCACAGAGAGTTGAAACGGGTTTGTTCAACATATTCTCGCTGGCCTGCTTTGCCAACTCTACAGTAGCTCTTATCCAGTCTGGTGTGCTGCGGCAATTCAGCATGCGTCCCATCGTCGGCCGTTTTCAAGGCCCTTGTGTTTCCAATCGTAACGTGGACTCCAGTGTGGACATACCTGGTACCTGCAAACGGTGTTCCTGGTCGTGTTTCTTCGTGGTACGTGCAGAAATGAACGTTTCTGACAAAAAAAAGCGTGCCACTTCTTACTACTGCTGTACAGACCCAAGGAGTTGAGATTCCTGAATTAACGACTCGCAGGACTACTAACTATTACAGGTTTGTATTTGTCGGTGTTTTGCCGAGCGGCTGCGCCTTTTTGATTGCCACGCTGCGGCCCTCACTGTGGCACATGTTGTGCAAGGCTCGCGGTGCGCATCCCGTTGTGGGGCAATCAGCTCCGACATCCGTTAAGAGTAAAAGAAAAAAACTCGGACATACCGAGCAACCGCTGCTGATGGTTATAGTGCTGCTGTGTAAGGCTTGTTCCCTCACGAACACATCCGAACGTCATGGGTGGTGGTCGCATATATATGTTCTTCGTAGTTGGCATAACATGATGCCAGCCACAGGAATACTGCGCATAATCTAAATCACCTTTACATGTATGTGGCGACAGCAGTGAGATGCACCCCCGGAGTCGGGGCATGCCCTCAACACTAAAATACAACAAAGAACGGAAGATACGAAAATACTCACGTCAATACCACATTTATCGTAACGTCTGGGTCCCCGGCATATCTCTTGTGTATATCACTACACATTATCGATAGAGCCATACACTGCAGCTCTGCAGCTAGTGATTGCTCTGATTACATAGTGCCCGTTCCGTGTGGGCACAAGTAGGATTGTGGTCGTCGTCGCCAGCGGCGGGTTGTGTCGCCAGCGGCGGGGGTTGGTGGCCGCGCGAACTGGCGAAACCGAAAAACACGCTGGAGTTATGGAACACCATTTTTTGTGTCCGCAATCTTTTCGTGATCTTTTACGTACATACATCTTTCTCTGGTCAATAGTCGAGGGCACGGCCGTAGACCCTGGCCAAGATGGTGGGCTCTGCGAGTGAACAGCATGATTCGAGGAGCGGGGGCAGCAGCAGTAGAGTTGTTGTGGTGCAACCACAGGAGGAGAAGATGCAAGCCAATAGCAACCGCGGTGCGAAACCAGGCAAGAAGAAGACCCCCATCGCGGGAAGGATGTGGTGAGAGTGGACAACGCGGGCGGCAGTGTTTGTGCACGACTACGAACACTAATACGGTAGTTGAGTCCATGCTAGGGTCTGACGATTCGACGTCGAATATATCATGTCGCCTACAGGCTTGCGCTACACAGCGGTATCGGCTTCGCTACAAGGGTTTACTGCCGTGTGGTCCTTTTTCGTTTGCCGTACTTACATAGACTATGCATTCCAAACGTTGCTGCTGTAGTTGTAGCAAGAGGTGCCATCACCACCGCTTTCCTCTGGGTTACCACGTCTACCGCTGTGCACTTAGACTACTTACGATATTTTCTCTCGTATACCAATGTCTCCTCACGGAAATATCGAAAGGGACAGCTTCGAGTCTGAGTCGTCGTCAGAGGACGGTGTAGACGACGGCAACGGTGAAGACCAAAGCCAAACGTCTCGAAGGTCGCTGGAGAAGCGCCGGGCCAGCAAGAAGGGTAGATCCACCAGTAGTTCGACCACGAGCAATCACCGCCACAACAACAGGGGCAGCTCTCGGAGTACTACGCTCGAGTCTGATGGTACACAGAAGAAGACGGGCATCATCGCGCGTGAGAAACCAGAGAGGCGTAAGAAGAAAACGTCTTACGGCGGAGGCAAGGGAGACGGTGGCGGTAACCAAAGCAGCGCCGACTCCGAGACCCACCATAACAGTTCTACGCCGAATATTAGAACAGGAGATAAGGTTGTGGTGTATCTCCCGTCCGGGGGCAAAGCGAAAGGCGTTGTGTCCGTTGAATCCTCTCGGAACAGGTACGAGGTCACTCTCGAGAACGGCGAAGTCGAGAAACGTGTCCATTCGAGAAACATAGCTCTGGCTTCGAAACACCGAAGTCACCGTCGCAACCGGTCGGACCAAGCTAGAAGCTCAAGCAGTCGATCCCAGGCAAAGAAAAACACGAGAAGGCGTCGAGAGTCTCGAGCGGACGCCCCCGGCCGCGGGCAAAGTCATGGCGATGAATCAGGGATGGAATCTGAATCGCGCACGCCACGCGAACAGCGATCTGACTCTTCCAGGGTCCTCGGAGCTACCCCACCTTCTTCCGCAGAAGCACTAGTTGGGCAACGCAAGGCAGAGGAGGTTGATCAACCCGCGAGTTTGCCCTCTACAGGGCCATCAACGGTAGCGTCTGCGGCCAGCGGCGGAGGCGACCCGATCCAGCCGCCACCGGCCACAGAGAGCCATTCTCACGATACCGCTCCAACCCGACGTACCTCCCAGCCACCGCTCGAAGCCCTCGCTAGTGAGTCAGAGTGCGAGACAAGCAATGGAGAGAGGGGATCGTCGCTTGAAAGAGGATCGTCGCAAGAAAGAGGCTCTTCGCCGTTGTCGAACAAGGTCCGGCAGGCCCAGGGGCTTTTGAAGACGGTGAGGGACCTCTAGGGTTTTCGTGTGGGCTTGATCAACGCTTTCGCTCGTAGTACACTGTTGCTGCTCCGGCTATGTTCTACACGTAGACCCGAAGGGATCCGGCTATGTTCTATGCGTAGGCCCAAACGGAAGCTTTGGGAACGCTGCACGTAATAACACCTGTATGCTGAGCGTCTCTCGCAACTATTTTTCGCGAGGATCTCCACAAACCAGCCATTCGAAGCATCACATACTGTAGGAAGGAGAGCTCCTCCTGCTCCTCCTCGTCGACCTAGTTGGCAAGGTTGCAAGTATTGTTGTGTGCACCGCAGGTTTCGTTTGCAATTCAGCACTATTTTCCTTACCCTCAACGCTGATTTCCAACAGATGTTTTGGAGGAAAGGAGAGGAGCAAGGCGGCGGGGGGGGCGGTAGTGGTACAGAGGGCGGGCGTAGCGCTAGTCGACGGTGGCCCAGAGGAAACTCACTATCCCGCAGGTTCTCGGGGGGTTCCGGCGATGATCCCGGAGAGGACGTACGGAACTTGAATTCTGTTCCCGTCTCAGGAGACGAAACCGAGCGAAACAAATACACGAACAAGCTCGATTCCCCAATACCCACGTCTGAGCACAGCGAAGACGCAGCAGCAAGTACGCCGCTGGGTGCGGCTTCCCTGAAAGGGCACGCCCGAAGGCTTAGCCGAGGGCTAACGCGCGGCAGGTCAAGGAATCGCAACGACAGCCACGCAGGGCCCCCCTCGGAGTCTCCCGCCGCGTCTCGTTCTCCTAGTCTGGCCACGAAACTAGGGATGACTCTTCGTGGAGCGATCATGGGGAAGACACAGCTAGGCGTGCACAATCCTCACGCCGCCGATGTACACACTGTAGCAGCAGACCTTTCGGATGCGGACGCCGGGAGCGACGCCACATACTCGACCGGCGCCAGCAGCGCCAAGGGGGACGAGTCTCGGCGTGAGCGTCGAGTCAGCAGGCCAAGGGGCGGGGCAGTACTTGATGGCGGAAAGGACCATGGCGGCGTCTCCAGTGACGGCTTCGACAGCGATGTCTTCCGCCAGGACAGCCCGATGGCCGCGACGGCCTACGGGGGCGACCCCAGGAACCTGCCCGACGCCGTGTTCTCGTACATTGGCGCGCGGGAGAAGATGGAGCACGAGATGAGCGCGTCGGGGCCCGTGTTCCTCCCGCGCGTTGACAACCTAGCGGCCAAGACGGCCGCAGAGGGAGCGGTGCCGGCGTGGGGGAAGCTGCGGGGGGGCTCTCTGGATATCACCAAGCAGGCGTCGTCTACGACGCAGCGGACGGAGCAGCACCAACCGTTCACAGAGGCCATGTTCAAGGCTGGAGTTTCCGAGACCCGGCATTCGACGAAGCAGGGGATATTGCTCGAGGGGGACTTGCAGAAGTTCAGCCCGGAGTCCATGCGTGGCGTTCGCTGGCACACGCGGTATTTCGTGCTCTACGCGTGCGCCTGCGAGCTGCGCTACTACCGGACTCACGCCGAGGCCGCGTGGGGCCGGATACCCTTGGGGGAGAGGGGATCCATTCCTCTACGCCTGGTGGTGAAGATAGAGCAACCGTCGGACAAGAAGTACCGGGGGTGCCGTTTCGACCTCGTCGTGCTGCACAAGGGCGAAAGCCGCCACCCAGGCCTGCACATCCGTCCCGGGCAGGAGTCGCGGGTCAGGACCACCAAAACGTTCAAGTTCAACGCCGCGGACGCCCAACAACGCCTTCTCTGGGTCACCGTCATCGAGGCGCTCATGAAGAGGCACGGCTGGGGCGTGGATGCCGATCGCTGCCGCAGCATGCGTGCGCCACGCCACGGAGGCCCGACCGCAGGGGCGGGTGACTCGCTTGCCTGGGGCAACACGTGGGGCGGAGGGGAGGCGGAGGGAACCGAGCCTGCGATCAAGCGACATGTGTCTCTTCGATTGAACGATGGGCTAAACGGTGCTGAAGCCGTTCAGGAGGTTTCCTCTCCACTCAGGGCCGGTCACAGGTGTGTGATCGGGTTACTGAAAGCAAGCATGGAGGTATACCAACATTTGCCTCTTGAGTGGGGACAAAAAGCAACAACACCAAGGGTACCATGACAGGCTACATAGTGTAAGGGCTCAGGCCTGGTGCATCTTCCTAGCGAGGGCTTAAGCACACATGTCAGAGGGCACTGAACCCCGACAACATTGTGCGTGCATGTATATATGTCGTTGCCTTGGTCTAGAAAACAACCCCGTGAAAGACATAGTCTACATTACGGTAGAATGAACGTGTAGTTTTTTGTCGGCCGTTCATTCGTGGAAGATCTAACGTCTTTCGCAGTGGTCGATCGCCCTCTTGCCATTCTGACGTCGTCTCAGGCCATGTCATCGTCTCAGGCCAAGTCATCGTACCGTTTGGGGAGTGATGCAAACAATGACCCTGTACGGATGCTGCCCATTCGTTGTTGGACTCCCCCCAGCACCAGCAGGCACCAGGAAAGATCTCGCACGGGGTCTTTTGTCATGACTTTCGTCGAGGGTCGAGATGACGGCGACCTGAACCTCCAAAAGCGGCACAACCATCAGCAGAACGACGAAGAAATGCTCGGCATGCTCCGCGGGACAACGTCGCCCGCCCCGCAGCAGCAGCAGCAGCAGAGAGGCATCAGCATCCCCTACAGCCCTGGGGGAAAGAGGGGTAGTTTGACCACCAGCGCCCTGTCTCCTCCCATGCCGTTCGTAGGGGCCAGGCGCCAAAGCTCACTTAAGTCTGACCACCTGCGGTTTTGATGCGCGTGATGCTTCTTCATCACAGGTACAAAGCTTGTAAATAGTAGTGGAACGCGGCCGTTAGCCGCCACATTTCGGTGGGGGGCGCATGCAACAGGCGATTCCTAAGGCGTAGCCGTACCACAATCGTCAGCGGGTGGAGCTCTTCATGGCGTGTGCTGGCGTTTGGCATGTACTGTTTTGTTGGGGAAAAAGCTGCTCATTGCTGGCTGTTGAGGCGATGTATTTATGTAGTGTTTTCCGACCATGCCCTCCCTACGACTGTACGTAGCATTCTCAACCTAGATGCAGAGCCGGTAAGTATGACCTCCGCGATGATTGGTCACGAGCGAGCACGTTCTCTCGAGGAAAAGGTTTGGCCGTTGTGTTGTTCCGACCAGAGGAAACGTGTACACCACACAGAAGGTTCCAGCGCGTCGGCGCAATGCAAGCATTCTCCGCCGAAACGCTTGGCGCGTGTCGCGACGACAACAGCCGACTCGAATCTCACGCCTAACCAAGCGGATAGACTAGTTTTTTTCTTGTTTTGCGAGAAATCTTGGGCATGTCGCATCCTGGGCTGAAGCGTAAGCGTGTCTATCTGCACGGCAATGTGGTGCACTTGAGGAGAGGGATTGCTCAATCAATCAACTTCTCCGAAAAAATAAAGGGTGCACTCCATCAACATGACCTCTACCCGGAGATCATCATCGGAGCTCGTCCGAAGAGAGAACAGGGCAAGACCATCACGTAGGTCAAGCAGCGAGGAAAGTGGCCATGAAAATATGGCCGAAAAGACAAAAGCGAGAGAGAGAAGACCGAAGTGTAAATTGAGTTCACTAAATACTTTTGTCAGGAAACGGCCTCCACAGCAACGCCAACGCCAAATTATAGAAAAGCCTCATTTCATTTCCAGCCAAGCAAAAAAAGAGCAGAATCGAGTCTTGCTAGGCTACATAGATGTTCTGCTGATGGACAAGATCCCCAACGTTGTCGGGCTGGGTTCAACTGCTGTAGACTACTGGTATTTATTATACAATTGCAACTCATGGCAAATCCTTCTCGTCAAATACCCGACCCAGCAATTGAGACTCTATTATATACCTGGTATATAAGCGCGAATCCGCATCACACGCAAAACGGGACCAACCGGGAGCTGTCCATTCTCTCTTCAATATAGTAGAAAAAAGGGCCGACCGGGAGCCGTCCATTCTCTCTTTAATATAGTAGTAACAAGGGCCAACCGGGAGCCGTCCAATCTCTCTTCAATAAAGAAGTAAAAAGGGACCAACCGGGAGTTGTCCAATCTCTCTTCAACGTGTTTGTTACTGAGTGGGTGTTCCACATACTGCTCTGTCGGCTGCCGCAAGCCCATGCAAACCTTATCCTCTACAACACCAAGCGCTTAGCTTACCCGTTTCCCAGTACGTGACGAGTAGACTATCATAGCGTTCTTCAGGGCCAACCTCTCTCGCCTTCCCTCGCCTCATGTGTGAAAAATGTCCCCCCTCCATCTCCCCCCCGGTGGTAACCATAATGGTGGTCGAGTGGATCATGTTGTGCGGGGTGGAGAAGCCTCACTCCGCGCAACGGGGATGATCGCACCACGTTGTGTCAAAATGGTCAAGCACCCTCGAGGCAGTTACACAGTGCTTACAACTGTCTCTGGAAGTGAAACACCAGAAAATAAATTAAGTCATACGCAGCTGTCATCCGTACGCAAGGAAGTAAGCACAAGATGCCGAAAACCCTTAGCAGGATGCACCCTGCATGCGACTCGCCGAATACCTTACGGTGCTTCACCCTTGGAGACGTGAGAGCCTGGTCCGGTGAGAACCCGGCGTGCTCCGTCCCGGCTTTATAGGGATGCGAGGTCAATGGTCTAACGACTACGTCATGAACGACTATGAGTACACCCCCCCTCCATAGTATCTCTGTTCTTTCTGCAACTCTTCTTCTGGTCTAGTTTCAGTTATACACGCGTCGCCTATCAACCAAAAGCACACCCGACTATGGGCAAAGTTAATGCCGCAGAGGTGTGGCCGACTCATAGGACAACATACGATACAAACAGAGTGCCGCTCATTTCTACAGCTAGACCACACAAGCAACGCCAAATTTATAGTAATGTCAAAGAGCATCGATGCCTTTTGGGACTACTCGCGATAAAAGTTCAAGCTCGCCTAGACAAAAAAAAAGAATATATCCAGAGAAAATCAATACATACCATCCGCCAACCCCACCACTCAATTGCCGCCCCCTCTCATCCGTCCACTCCACTTCATTCAGTGCGTCCACGCCACGCCCGGAGTTTCAGGGGAATTATGTACAACAAGGAATCAAAATACATGCCGATATAAAATGGACAAAAACTCATACGCCTGGAGCCAGCTCCAAATACATGTCAAAAGCAACCATACACGAGAAAACGAAATCAACAATCACGGGTAAAACAAACCACCCCCTTGCCGTGTAGGGCCACCACCACCGCGTTGCAGTACAATCGCGTCGCACGCCCTCACCCAAAAATCACATCTTTCGCTGCTCGACAGGCCGGGATACCGTCGTCATCTCCACCGCGCGGATGGCCTTAGCAGCACCGCCACACGGCACCACACTCAACTCCGCTTCTACGAGAGCGGAACCAGAGCACTCCATCCGTGCAGTCCAGGTGACCCCCTCGCTTCACCAGCACCACCAAGCTATAAACAGCAGCCGCTGCGCTGTGCGACGGGAAAACTTGCGTACGTACTGCAACTCGACACAAGCACGTTTCTTCCGAAACAGCAACACCCACCCCTTTGGAAACATGGACCATCACCCTCATGTTTCTCGAGCTTTCAAAGCTCCACCGACAAACCAGTTACTCCCACAAAGGCACCCAAGAACAACATAAAAACAATCTTGAGGGATACATTTCAGTCCGAAGTCGATTAAGGCATACAGCCACAAGTGCATCGAAACAATATGACATTACACCACCAGGTCCACGGCCTCATGCATTCGCAGGTGCAACGTGTACGGAGGTGGTAAGCACCCAAACTCACGTCTCCGCGACAAAAACAATCAAGCGACCCACCAGCGAAGCATCAACGAACGAAATATACTTGGTCATACGTTCGCGCTATAGCTTGTAGGCGGGCACTTTCTCCAAGTTAAATAAACCCACAAACACCGTTAAACAAAGGAAGATATGAAAAATGTCGAAGTTGAAACCAATCCGGCGTGGCGTGTGTACTGGATGACGTCAACCAAGTTCAGAGGTGTTTCACCATCCCTTCACAACCCATGCTGGTCAACGGCCATCCCGACCCCCAATCTACTTGATCTTTGGGAATGGTATACTAGCTGTACCAACACAAGAACGCCTGCAACAAACACACAGGAAACCCGGCAGCAAGTCACAAAGAATGATAATATGTATTACGGCACCGCTTCGCGTTTCGCCCGCCGCTACACATGCAGGCCAACTAGAGGTAAAAAACGTTGAGTTGGGGCAACAGCGCTACAAAAAACTGGCGTGTAGAGGGCACGAGGGCGTGCAGAAAGTACAGGAGCGAGTGAAGTCAAACAGTGGAGGAAACGCTGCTGTGTAGATAGTCCCCCTGTGGGTTGCTACGATACCTCCAACATTCTAACAAAAAAAAAAAAATGAGAAACACAAAAAAACAACAACTCCGCAGGACAGCAGTGACATCGACCCAACTGACAAGTAAATACACGCAGCTGGTCAAGTGTGAGGGAAGGAGAAGAAACAAAAACGACCAAATCTTTTCAGATTCAATTACAGTCATGTCTATTGAGGGCACTAAAATACTAAGCATTTGTTTTGTTTCCCCCGCAACACAATTGGCACTCTCCAGTCCCTCACCTCACTCAGTGCAGTAAAACAACATCGAAGAATAGAGGAGGGATAGCACCAACAACTCTACAAGCTCCGTACTCTTTACCAGAGGCAACAGCAGGCGTTTGGCCACATCCCTCCCACATGGTGGTCGCGAAAGATTTCAACGTACCGCAGGCACAGCGACGACCAAATCAACCCCAATCCGCCATGTCCGAATATCTAAGGCTTGAGGAGAGCTGACGCAAAAGCCATTTTCTTCAGGAGAGCTGACGGAGCCATGTTCTTCGACGCCACAGAACCGAACCGAACCGAGCCTTGCGTCTATCATGCCCACCTATCGATGCGTCCTCGCCATGTCTCTTACCGCAGCTCTCTCATATCGTGCGTGATGACGCACCAAGTGCCAGCAAAGCAAACGCCAAGGCAAACGGACAACCAAGAGCGACGCCGCTCGACATCCACGATATTAAGCCTCCTCACATGACAACACCCGCCGAGCAGACTTTCGCGTGAAGCCTCCTCACATGGCAACACCCACAAGGCAGCTCCTAGACACGGCCAACGTCCACGCTCTTGGCACCGCCTCAATAACCCGGCGACAGCAAGGCCTCCACCAAGTCAAATTCATCCAGCTGACTCATCACACCGGATGCTGCGGCCCAAACCCCGGGTGTCGAGGAGGAGGAGGAGGAGGAGTTTGAAGGGCCGGCGCACCCCGCGCCGGCATCGCCGTCAAACGTTGCGTGCATGCCAGTGGAGCTAAGGCTGCTGCTCGCGACCCGGTAGGCCAGGGACTGCTGCTGTTGCTGCTTGGTGAACGGCGGGCAGAGTCTCGGGCCTGATGACGACGCGAGACCGCCTTGAGGGCCGTGTCCTAGGTCGAACACTGCCGTAGCCATCTCACCACCCCCGAAGCGCTCCGACGGCGAGACACCCGCCTCCCCGGCCCTGGCATTGTTGGCGTGTGACCCGCCGCCTGCCTCGCGCCCTCCGCCTTCTCCGACTCTCTCACCCATGCTGCTGCTGTCGGCAACGCCTCTGGCCACGCAGTGCTGCTGGTGCTGGGACCCGAGATCGTCGTGCCGCAGCAAGTCTGCCGACGCCTGACGTAGCTCCCATGAGGTCGACGCTGGCGCTGCGGGGGGCGACGGGGGCACACGCACCCTACCTCCTTCGCCCATGTCACCACTGCAGGGCGATTGGGTGCATACTCCATTGCCCGCGCCCCCGCCGCCGTCCTCACCCGCCCTCGAGCTGGAGTAGCCCTCGCTCGAGATTGCCGGGAAGGTCCAGTCGGTGGGAAACGCCGGCGGGCGAGGCGCCGCGCTTCCAGGCCTGGCAAACGCTCCGTGCTGCCGCGCGGAAGACGTCGGCTGGGACATGCTCGTCATGCCCGGCCAGAACGAACGGCTGCCCTGGACGTTGCCAACGCCGAACAACGCCACAGGCTGCTGCCGCCGCCGCTGCTGCTGCTGCTGCTGCTGCCGCTGCTGCTGCTGCTGCCGCTGAGCCCGATCCCTGTCGTGGCCACCGTTGCTGGCGCTACTGCTGCCCGTCGCAGACATGGCACCGCCGAAGCTCGCGCCTGCCGTCCGGAGGCCAGGGCCGTCGCCACGCGAAGAACCTGCAGACATGGGCAACCGCGGAGCCGCCTCGCCGTCTCTTAGCGACGCCAGGTCCTCGAGAAACTCGGAGGTGAAATGAGCATGGGCGATGATCGTACGCCTCGCGGCGTCGTCCTCCTCAGCTTGTGTCCGTATCCTCATGGCGTTCCTACCCGCTCCGCTCCCGAAATTGGCGACGCCGGTGGCGCTGGCACCAGACAGGCTCAAGCTTGATCTAGACCTGACGTCCTCCTTGTGCTTCTTGACCCCGACTTGCGAGACAGACGCAAGCGTCGCCGCATCAGCCTCCAACACCGATGCTGCATTCCGCTTCCTACTGTCCTCCTGCTGCTGCTGCTGCCGAGCTCCAGTCATGCCTGACGTGTAAGGCGACGACGATGTCAACACCGTCCCTGCAGGTGGCCACTGGTGGTGCTCCATGTGCCGTGCTCCGGCCGCCAAAGGCGGCGGCGGCGGTGTTGTTGACAACATCTGCGCAGGCCGCGCCGCCTGCGCCGGCGGCGGCATGCCTCTACCCGTAGGGACCCCGGCGCCTGCGTCGACTGTCGCCCCTGCATCTCCCGCCCGCTGGCCCGAGGCACAACTGCCGCTGTCGTCACCGCCTTCAGCAGCAGCAGCAGCAGCAGCAGCAGCCCCGCCGACGGTGGCCCGGCGCCGAATCGAGATCGAAAATGTGAGCACCGTGGACCCCGAGGCCGAGGCCGGCTCGAGGCGCGACTCGTCCAGGCGCACCTCGGCGTCCTCCCCCGCCGCCTCGATCTCCGACGCGATCAGGTCTCCGACCTTCTTGACTGTGGGGTGTGGGGGCTCCGCGGGATCCTGGTCCGCGTCCGAGGACGACACCGAACCCGCGGAATTCCGGCGGTTGGCCGGGCGGCGAGTCTTGGCGGAGCCGTAAGCTTGGAGGTAGTATTTTCCCGTGGCGCTGTCCAGGGTGATGCCGAGCTTGGACTGCTCGTCGCTCTTGACGTGCTCGACGCTGAAGCGGGTGTCGCCATGGCCAAGGCCCCGCTCGATTATCTGGTCGAAGAAGTTTGTTCGCTCGAACTGCCCAGAGAGCGAGAGAGAGAGAAAGAGAGAGAGAGAGAGAGAGAGAGATGGTCAAAGACAACAAGTTTAAGGGTAAAGAGCAAGGACTGGCTGTGTCCTGGTAGGTTGGTGCACACATACCTATACATAGGCTTTTGTTACTTGGAAAAGTACACCTGGTATGCACATACATCCCATTGAACCTAAATATCCGACGGGTGAGTGGATCCCTCTACCAAAAATTGAAAAATAACAACACATGATTACTGCTGTATGATTGTTTCAACACTCCTTTGCCGTTGAAGAAACGCGACATAGTTGCATAGCACACACAGGAAGAAAACCTCCTACAGGCTTGCTCCTCCGCGACTTGAGTTTCCCACATGACCCTACAACCCTAACGGTTGTGATGGGGCCGGAAGCGGGTGGTTGGTCTCTGTGCCGGAGCTCGGATTTCGGCACATTGTATGTAGAGTTGAAAGCGCCTGTTGTGGAAACTTCCGTCCACCTTGCCCCGCACCATGGCTGGTTGCGGGGTCACGCTTTCAGGAAATCAGCCTTCTCACCCACGCTCGTTTGCGGTTTTACGTCTACAACCAATGCACAGCAACCTAGACACCGCCCGATGATTCGACGGTGACGGACTTCACCAGACGTCAGATGAAAAGTTGAGTTTAGGTACGGGGCGGGTTCTGCACCGACTAAACAAGTCTCTAATATAAAGGAGGAGACTATCGGCCGGAGGATGTCTTCGAAAAGCCAGTATATGTATGCATACGGGTTACAAAGAATAATAGCTCCCGCCCGACACAACCCCCGCCCACAAACCCACAAACCATCCCACTTGCATGGGCCGCCGCCCTCTGCACAAGTTAGTACCTCGTGACCCCGTTAGTTCAACGAACATGAAACACCGTGTAACCCTCCTATTGTATGCATAGACTTTGTTGTTTTGTTGTTGTTGTTTCTCACATTAGCTCTAAAAAAAACAAGATTGGGAGCCCGTGGTCTCAAAACCCGGCATACACGACCCCATGAAGAAACAGAAAAAAATAGGGTACAAAAACCACTCGGAAGAGAAACAAAATGATAGAAAGAAAGACCAGCTACCGCACCAAACGAGAAAGAGCGTCGAGGAGACCGATCAAAATAAAATAAAAGGAGAACGGGGAACGCTTCCCACACCCGCCTACAACGCCGGAGGGTTCCGTGCCGGGTTCCCGCCGACCAGGCATCTATCAATCGTTGATTTCGATTGACTTCCGGACCCTCGGGTCCATTTTTATTTTGGCATGCTCTTTTCGGGGAAATCCTGTGACGTCAGGAATCGACCGCGTCAAGTGCTGTACATCAAATACATCTGCAGAGTAGATAAATGAAGGTATGGGTACAGTCGTCCCCGCTTTAAGGACGCTCATCTTAAGTCAACTCCCCGCGATAAAGACGAAAAAAAAATTCCGAACCATGGTGCCCCGCAGATATACAATATGAGGGGGGGTGTACTTTATATACAGCGGCCCCCCCCAGAAAATCGTGCAGCACACCTGTAGAACTGCACAGAGAGCGGTCTGCCACTGCTGATGCTGCTGCTGCAACCGCTACTGCGTGGATATGGATAGATTCCTTTCGTCTGCTGACGGTCCGTCTGCCGCCCACACGACAACGTGTGGTGAGCCATCATCGACGACCTCTGCGAAATGGTCTCCAAGATGTCTATGCCAGCCAGCGCCACGGACTCTAGATCCACGGCGCGAGTGTTGACGGACAACTTGTTCGTCGAGAAAGCCTCAGGCCTCACGGACGCTGAAGTGCGTCAGGCAGTAAAGACGTGGCTTAGTGTAGAGGACGACCCAGAGGTGTTGGAGGAAGAAATAGCAATGGAACTGCAGGCTGTAGACGAGCAACTGGCCGGCGTAACCCTCGATGACGATGTACCCAGCGAAGAGGAAGACGACGACGGTAGGTCAGAGTCGTGCGTGACAACGTCGCTTACAGAGGCCGACGTCCGCTTTCGCCTCGAGGAGTGCCGCTCCTTTTTGAATGCGAAAGGGAAGGACGGCGAGTACAGCGAAACGCTGTACCTTCTTTCGAGGACTGTGCATTCGTTCACTCACGAAACTCAAGTCAACCGAAGAGCGAAGCAGGGGGGTGAGGTGCAGGCCACTCTTGGCGATATGTGGGGGCGATAGTTTTTTTTTTCGGAGGGCATACAGCGATGGGCTCTTTTTTTTTATTGCTTCATCTTCACCGATAATTTAGCGTTGATGTCCATCTGAGTTTCGTGTGTAGGGTGTTTGTGTCTCTATCGCTTAGGATATACTGAAGTATCGTGTCAAAGTTGGAACCGCTGTGGTGAAGGATGTGTCGGTGAGGTTTTCAACATCAGGAAAACGAGAAGAAAATAAAAACAACACAGCAGGCAGCAGTCGCCACACAACCGAGAGAGTGCACTGCAGTCATAACAAAACTATATCCCGCAACAACCCACATGTCGGGAGCATATTATCGCGGGCGGTGGCGCGGTAACTTAAAACATGGTTTATAATACATAAATATATATATAGTGCATTCCACTTTCAACCACGGCTACGTTGTGAGCGGTCAGATTTATGGATCCTCGTTTCGTTATAAGTTACGTGTTGCAACGGCGCGTCTTTTGATGTATGTTATGCCTCCATCGGCCCCGGGGGTGGTGCGTTATCGTCCCCGGAATCTTAAAGACGATTCCCCGCGTTAAAGACGCTTTGAAAAAAAAAACGCTATGCGTCTTTAAAGCGGGGACGACTGTAGCACAATGTGGATCGGAACAGTTTGTACTGCTGTGAAGAAAACAACAACAACCGAACCCCTGCAATACGATTCCTGCGTACCCCCAGCAAACGCCTGAACGGCGATGAAGTCCCTTCGAAAAGTCGAAGCTTTGCTTCTGTTGGCCTGGGAATTTCCACCTGATTCTGTGGTTTCTAGACAACATGCAGACGTTCTTTATGAAACGAGATAAGAGGGGGCCTTCCGCTTCACGAGCGAGTGAGTGAGTGCTCATGTGCTCATGTACACGAGAGGTGAAAGGCGACACCAGCGATTGTCATCTGCTGCAACGACCGCTGCCAGCATCGGATCAACCATTGAACGAACCGGAGGGACAGCAGCATAGTACAATAGCACTTCCCGGAAAAAAAGAAAAAGTCGCTTACATCTCTCTCACACATGCAGAAGTCGTGTTTGTTTGTCTTGTGAATGAAGTAAATGGACAGTAGCAGCATAGCACTTCCCGAAAAAAAAAACGTACATTACACATAATCCACCTGCTGCTTACCTTGTTATCCTCGTGGTTCTGAACGAGCACCTTCGCCCCGAGCCAGCCCGACCTGTAGAACGCTTCTCGAGCCAGGGGAGCGCGTTCCAGGGTCTTGGTAGTGATCCCATGTTCCTCGAAAGGCTCAGGGTGTCTGCTCACCAACCATCGGTAGAGAGACCTGTTCTCGGCGGGCGGGTGGCGGTTGCCGTTGTTGTTGTTGTTGTTGTTGTTGTTGTTGTTGTTGTCTTCACATACATACAAATCGTTCCGTTCTCTCCGCCCAGACCTTGTTCTGTAGGACGCGCAAAACCATGTGATGCATTATAGGGAAAATTAAATGCACACACAAAAAAACTGCCCGTTCGAGATATACCCACGTCGAACAGGAAGTGTTGTTGGGAGTCTTTGGAGTTGGAGTTGTTGATTCTCACATTAGCTCTAAAAAAAAAAAGAGTGAGTGGAGGGAGACCGGCTGGGTACTGGGATTGTTTCGAATGTAGTAAAGCCGCAACACTGATGATACATATGCATATCAGCAACCAGTACTTCCTGCAAAAGCGAGTGAGTGTCAGGTGCAATCAATAATGTTGCTGATCGGGCAGATGCACGCCGCGCAGGATGGCCGACAACCGACAACACTCGTTCACGACTCGTGGCAAAACAAAAAGAGAAGAGGTCCAGACGTTCAGACGCCTCTTGAAAAGGTACACAACACTACGAACACCACACAACGCGGCGGCGGCGGCGGCGGCGGCAGAACCGTCGATGGAAACAATGGTTTGCAACTGGTGGACATGATGACGGTTGGTGGAGAAAAACCGCTGGACCTGGACGTGAAGACCACTCGAAAAAACATCGGTCTTGGTTGTCATTTTTCTCAACAACCCATCGTGTGATGACTGACTTCTTGAAAGAGCTAGACAGGCAGGCGTGTGTTGAACAACAAATGGCAGATACATCAGATCAGATCAGATCAGACCATACCATATTCGTGAAAAACGGACGGTGTCCTGATGTCCTGATCAATCCTCGTCGTCTTCCTTCTCTTCTCCTTCGATAGATTTCGCTGATTGTTTTATGGGCCTTGTTTTATCTTTAGTTGATGCAACGCATTAGATCTTCTCATGGCTTGTAGCATTTTTGTGACCACGGACCGCGTCTTGCTAGATTTTGGGATCAGCAGCAACTGACACGAGTTTGATGTGAAGGCAAAACAACAACAACATCGGCAATTCCGCCTCTCTCTTCTCTCATGAACCGAAAGTACGGCGAGCAACTCAACACATACAAGCGGCAGCAGCTTGCCTTAATGGGGAATGTGCGCCGGGATGTGCGCCGGGATGTGCGCCGGGGCGGCAACAACTCAGTAAACAAAAATACTGCCCGCTGCTTACCTATCTACATGTTCGAAAATGCGCGAGAGAAACAAAAAGAGCGGTCGAAAGCGCGTGAGAAAGCGTGACCACGCACTGCCGAAGAGACCTAGACTGTGCAAAACAACCACAGAAAAAAGCAAGTGAGAAGAATAAACGCATCGAACGAACCGCTGGTTTCATTATACGTTATCAAGTCCGCGCACACCGTAGGCGAGTACATAGCAGGCAGCCAAACATGCGAGAGTACCCCGAACAAACGGACTGCTGGGAGTGGAGTGCTGTGGCCCGGGCTGTTGCATCTAGCAGCAGCAGCGAGAAGCAAGACGGATGAACATACACGAAGCACGGAGAAAGCGGCGGTACTTGACTACTTGATTTAAGACTGCATGAGCATGTGCTACTGACATGGAGAGGGCAGGTCCGAACTTCGTGTGCATACCGGCCCCACGTTGATTTTGGCATAAAAAAAGAACGAACCCTTTTGCTTTTGGCCGTGAGTGTGTGTGGGCGCAACGAAAGAGGAGACGTGGGCAGCAGCTACAAACTGCAAGGTGTGCCCCCGGCACTCGGACGTCAAAACACATAGTTGCACCACCTACACCACAACTAGATAGATCACTTGGCAAAATTCTCTCTGCCTGGTGAGGCAATCAATCAGTCATTGGTATTGTTGTGCACGCACACACCTCTCGTAGTTGTACTTCTTGATCGGGAGGTGGCTGGAGGGCATGTTGGTCTCCCCCCGCAAAAGAGGAGCGGCGCTCCCGTCTTGCTCAGCCTGTTCGATGCCTCTCAGACAGGACGACTCCCAGCGCCTTCGACAACTTCCTTGTTCTGTTGGTTTCCTAGACCGCACTCATGGCGTGTCTTTATTTGCAATGTGCAAAGTCCCACGGACAACTGAAGCCGCCTCTGAACCACACTGGCACTCTGGACCCTGAAATCCAGGAGGGGCAACGCAACTGGGAGAACATAGAGGCGTACGACCATCGTGCCGGCCGATCTATTGGGCAGCAGCTTCCTGCGGGCGTCTAAGGCTGCTGCGGATGTGCCAATCAGTCAGCAGTTCTAAGTTGAACACCGGCAGAACGAATCAGCTGAACGTGGCTGAACGTGGGGGCATGTTGTAGGTAATACAGCAGTAGACTCTCTGCAACACGACGAAATCATATAGCATGTTCCCTGGGCCAGAGCACTGATGAGCAACCAGCGCAGTTGGTACTGCTGTAGAGACAATGAGCAGTCAACCGTCGTATATCTCTCCTTATATAGACTATTGATAGACAACATTCTATACGTAGACTAGACTACATGTAGATGGAACAAACGATGGAACTGGCATTTACCCGCGATCCACCTGTTGCAAACCATGCTGTGTACTTGCAACTCCACTCAATCTCCTTCAATCGGAGGACCAGGTACCTGACTGGGTTGTTGCATTGCGTTGGTTGCATTGCGTTGGGACAATGACCCGGCCGAAAGCATCAAACCGAACGTGGTATCTGTTTCACATAGAATGAGTGGACTTGCATGTACACAGGGTGGTTTGCAACAGGTGGATCGCGGGTAAATGTCAGTTCCATCGTTCGTTCCATCTAGTCTATGCAGAGATGCAGAGAGATTGATAGATGTAATAATGCAACACATGCACTTCGCACCGAGGTCGACGTGGCTGAGTGGTCAACCAATCAGGTGACGGCGTGCTAAGACCGTTAGGCAGGCTATGCTCGCGAGAGTTCGAATCTCTTCGTCGACGAACCCATGGGGTACTTCTTTAATGGCACGAGAAGGAAGAAGAGGGCAGCCGACAACGGGCGCTCAAACGAAACCACAAGTCACCAACCAATGGGGCGGGAGGGGGGAGGAAGGAGACGGACGAGACAGCGAGGGACGAAAGCAAGCGGGAAGAGACGGACCGAGTGGCGCGATACGTACGTGCCGGATTGAATTTCTTTTACCCAATTCCGCCCCCCCCAACGCTGCACCAATGCACCAACCCCCCCCTAGTGATGACGTACCATTACAATGTATCGCTGGTTGGTGGCCACGTTTGCGAGTTTGCTTGTCGTTAGTGGTCTCTCCACCGTGTGCTTTTTTCTTTCTCTTATTTTTTGTTATTTTCGGCCTGGTCCCTTTTTGTCTTCGCTCTTTATTATGTTTCATTAATTTTTTTCTCTTTCCGTAAAGACTATTCTAGACTGTTTACTTGTATTTTCTTCTCTTTTTCTCTTTATCTCTCTTTTTCTGTGCCAGATGGCCTTGTCTCTGCTTGCGTTGTAAAGTACCAAGATTATACCAAGGGGGTGTACCTCATTCTCTCCGGCCCGTGATGGTGACTCCTAGTCTCAGTTGTTACCTCACATCGCGCGCAGAGGGAGTGGAGGACTCCAGAATATCTCTCGTTGATTTCTTTTGACTTGCGGACCCCTCGGGGCCATATTATTTGAGTGTACCTTTTCAGGGTAAGTTAGCCTGCGACCCACATAATCGACGACCGCGTCGAGTGTTGGATCAGTACGGACATACGAAGGTACTGGGTAGAGAGAGATCGGAACGGTTTTTAATGTGAAGAGAACAACAACAACTACTACTACTACTTGTACTAAACACCGCTCTACATGTGCTTCGTTCGTCGACTTGAACAAGGCGTATGATTCGGTGGACCGAGAGATGCTATGGAAGGTGCTGGCCAGGGCCGGGATTCCCGCGAAGCTGATCGAGGTTATCCGCCAATTCCACGATGGAATGCGGGCCCGGGTGCGCATGGACGACGGAGAACTATCGGACTGGTTGGCGTGCGACAAGGATGTTGTTGTTGTTGTTGTTGTTGTTGTTGTTGTTTCTCACATTAGCTCTATAGTCCACAAAAAATGGGGAGCCCGTGGTCTCAAAACTCGGCACATACGACGCCGCGGGGAAACAAAAAAACAAAAATAGGGTACAAACCACTCGGAAAAAGAAAACAAAATGATAGAAAGAAAAAAAAAGGTATCGCACCGACCGTTCGACAAAAGAGCCCTCGGAAACCGATCAAAATAAATCAAAAACAAAAATAAAGGAGGACGCTTCCCACCCCCGCCCAAAGAAAAAATCAAAGGGTAACGTACCAGCACCAGGCACTACGCACCAGGGCATGGCAGTAACGGAGCAAACAGGACAAAGAGGCGACAGATGGGCAGACAGCCAGACGTACAAAAACAAAGGCAACAGCAAAGATCAAGGTACCCAACACAGGAGAGTAGGCAGGGAGGTCACGAAAAAAAAGAAACACAGCACAGAGGCCGAAGGCAATACAAAGGACATACATATAGGAGTATACCATACAGCAGGGAGGGAAACAGGGCGCAACAACATCAGCCGGCTACATAGTTCGCCACAAGTGCTGCCTCGGCCGCCCTACTCGCTTCTACAGCAGTGCCCGGTCGCCGTTTCTTGCCCCCCACCGCCGCTTCCCCGGCTCTCTTTCTCTTCGGTCCCGAGATGGCCGTACTCTCTGCTTCTGCTTCCCTCGCGCGCTGGCGCTTCGCGGACGCTTCCGCCTCCTGCCTGTGCCATTTCCTCATGAACCATGCCGCCCCGTCCTCGACCTTGTTGTACCACACCTCCGGGTCCTTGGCGCTCTCTTTCCATTTACCCCCTTCCTTTTCGTCTCCCATGTTGCAGGCCACGAGGTCCTCTCCTGGACGAGACACTCAGTCGCTCTCCTGCCCGCCCCGGTATCCCATGCCCCCCGCCATCGCTCCTAACAGCATGCGCTTGGGAAGGCGGCTGTCCCCCATGCGCATAACGAAGCCCGCGAAACACAGTCTCCGTTTGCGCACGGTGGCCTCGATGGTTTCCTCGCAGCCTGCCTGGATGAGGGCCTGGGCATAGGACAGGGGGGGGTCTGAGCGTTTCCGCTTACTCTAGCC